GGGTCAAACTGGTTTATGCAACATCTGTCCCAGACCCCTCCCTGGTTTGAGTTAAATGAGAATCCCGCAGCATCCTGTCATGCTCTCTGGGCTGGGCTGGGTGGGGTCTCTGGTCCAGAGAGCTGGGCTGGCCCCTCCCCTCTGTTCCCTGGCTGCAGCTCTGGCAGAGACTTGTAGACACAGCAGAGTCTGCCTGGCTTCCTCCTGCTCTCCCCCTGCCCCTCACCACTCCTTGCTGAAGCAGGGATTCCCTCCCTCCCTTCCCTCTACCTTACACAGACACCTCTCATTTTGCTTCTCCTTGATGGCTATGGTCCGTGCTGTGGGAAACAGGACAAAGGAAAACAGGACTCTGTTGGCTTAGGGCTTTTTGGAGCTAATCAACAGGGAACTGGTAACCTCCCTCCTTTCCTTCCTTGAAAACAGCTGTTTAAGAAGAGCATGACCTAATGGAGAGAGGCTGTTGTTTTCTTAATGGGCTGATAAACACTGTGTTATATCAACTCCCTGCTGGGCTGCTTGTGTGGGGGGAAGACCTCCCTAATCAAAGCATCCTGCTGGGGTCTGGCCACGCCCCCCTCAGCTGAGCACTGTGGAAGGGAAGGAGGGCTACTCTAGCACCCCCTGGCTTCTAGTCTGAGCCACTGCAGACATGTGCCTGCATTTCTTCAGTTCAGAGGGGATGTCTGTACAGTTACAAACCAGTTTAGGTTAGCCAAGTTAGACTAATCTGCAAATATTGAATCAATTCAGGCCCAGGCTTTTTGAATGTCTGTCCCTAGCCACAAAGACTGAATTGATTCAGTCCTAGGCTTTTTAACTGTCTGCACAGCCTCCAAAGGTGAGAGGTCATGTTCTCAGAGAGACTCTCAGCCCTGGAATTCACAGGAAGCATATATTAAAATTGTGCCACTACAGTGGTGTAAACGGATTGTTTCACTGCTTTGCATCTAAATGTATGCAATGAATGTGTGTCTGGCAGGACATGGATTGTCTATTTAGTTTCTTGTAAGAGTCAGATTAGCTAATACAAGTTTGATTTACTTCTGGATTGGTGCTAATATGTAATTCTCCCATTACTTTTTGGACTATTTCTCATGTGTTTTACATATATATGATTTTTCCTCCCTTAACAATACATTGCCTGTAACTAAAATATGTGTATGCAAAAATCATATTATTTTAAGGGTGTGTGCTTTTCTTCATACAGCACCTTCCAGTGCAGGGCCTTGGAGAGCTTTACAAACATCAGTGAATTATGCCTTGCCCGGCAGACAAGGTCCATACTATCCCCTCAGACAGGAAAAATGGTAACTTTTCTAAGGCTACGCAAAGCAAGCTTGCAGATTCAGGAATACAACTCAAAAGACTCTTCTTCTCAGCTCCCTGCTCTAGCCACTCTATGCCCTTATTCAACAGCATGCACAGCACAACAATTATCAAATCTCGTCCCTACAACTCCATAATGCAATGTGCTGACTCCTCCCAAAGAGATCAGTGTAATTGTTATATAAATATTTTTCTGACTATGTGGTTGCTGCGTTTCTCATACAGCAGCAGGGGCCAAAGGACTGGAATAATACATCTTGTACTATCCTCACCTCAAACTCACAGTGGCCTTGAAAATCTTATTGCTGCTATGATTACCTTTTTCGTCCCCCACATTCATGGCCCACTCTTTCTGGGAGCAGTACTTATCGATGGTGTCCACCACGCTCTGGGGGTCCCCTCTGACCGCGTTCTGCAGCACAAAGTTTAAAATCCTCTGTTCTTTGCTCTGATCCATGATGAAATTGGTTATTTTCTCCAGGATTATTTCATTCCAGATAAGGGCTGCAATGCCATTGTTTCTAATGAGCAGTACAAGGAGCAGCAAAATGAGAAGCAGGCTGATGACAGTGAACAAAAGGATGGGAGAGCTCTCCAGCATCTGCAACGAGAAAGAAAAAATTGGCTTCTGCTTAAGGTGGCCCAGAAAAAGACCATTCACGGTGTAAGTATTAGGCTCAGACACATTGTGCCCACTGCCCTGAACAGGAAGGTATGGAGATGAATTATTGTGCTGTATAGTAGAGAGGGAAATACCTTTGTTTTATACAGAGATGGACATTTCTTTGGAAACTCCCTTTAGAAGCAAATTTCAGAAGCAGTCAACAAGCATCTGTCTTAATGCCCTGCTTCCTTCCCCCAACAGCCACTTAGCTGCAACTTCCAATGCACAGTTGCTTAGAGACTGGGTCCATGCTCAAAGGGCCTTTACAAAGCTCTTCTATACATGGAAAAGTATGTAAGATCCTAAAGAAGTGGATGTAGGAGGTAATTTGGGCAATGTGGAAAGGGGTGCGGAACAATAGGTGAGCAACAAAATGTGAAACCTTTCACCCTTGTGATTCTGAGCACAGGTCAGCAGAGATCAGACACAATTAGGCAAAATCCCATGTGAAAGGTAGGTGCAGGTTGCAAGCAGTGGTATCACGGGAAACACCACATAGCCCTTCTGCAGAGCACTCCAGCAAAGGGCTCAATGTGGCTTGCAGACGGAGTTACCCTCTCTCATCCAGAGCTTGCAATGCGGGTGCTTGATGGGGAGTGGGGCAAGAAAACTGCGGTCCCACCAGTGTCCCTGCAGATACAGGCTCAGGGATCCGAGCTCCCAGTGCAGTGCTGCTCAGGAACGCGGCAATAGTCTTCACTTGTGTCAGTGCCTTTAATGATTTCTTTTAAACCAGTGATTTCCCCCTCTCCTATGCCAGTTATAAAGCTGCTAAGCTGAATCCCTGTGTCAGTAGAGAGGAATCCAGGCACAGGAAATTCAGGAGATGTAACAAAAGGGTGCATTGTATTTTGCTGACTGGCTCGTTGCTGCAGCCAGCTAGAATCCTCTAATGAGGCTGTACCTATTGTTTCCCTGAAACTTGTTTTCTCTGCCGATGGCGATTATGTGTCTGCAGTCCAGGGGGTGGGCAGGTAGGCAGGGCACGGGGGTGACTTCAGGGCATCTGGACATGAACATGAACCTCACTGGATGTGATTCACGTCATTCTGCTCAGCTCATACCCTAAATCCCTTCAAAGCCACTTGCTTAGCACCATGAGGGAAGATGCACTTATTATTGTAATGGGTGATTCCATGGCTTGTATTTGGTGACGCACAGAAGTTTCAACCTGGACTAAGCCTTGAAAGAATTAATTCAGTCTTTCTGCAAGTGCACAGATGATTTGCATGCGGCTTTGGGTACACTGCTGTCATACAGCTAAGACAATGAGCATCGCTTCTAATGATCCCCCCTGCCCCGTCTCCTCGGCTCTCCCACTCTGGCATTTCCCTCTGGTAAGGGCCGAGGAGGGGTGGGGAGGGAGAGGGGCTGGAATGTGGCTGGATTAGCACAAGGCTGAGTGAATGCGTGAGTCACTTTTATTTGCAATCAAACATGGGTCTTAGGAATTTGGAGGCTATTTCCCCTCCCCTGCGCCTCTCTGTTATTTATGAGTTAACCCTTTCTACCCAACAAACTCCCTTCAAATGGTCTAGTCCTGCAAGAAGCTGCATCTCCCCACTTTTATGAAGTTTGACCTCACTCAGCATCTTGTAAAGCTACTGGGCACACAAGTTTGGGAAGGACACGTGACTCAGCCTCAAAGGCCTCTGGGTCCTGCCATCAAACCCTTTCCTATCAAAGACCAACAGCACTGCTTGTGCTTGCCACTCCATCACAGTTGCACCCGCTCCTCTGTGCCTCTTCGGTGGGGTCTGCACCAAGATCCTTCTGCGTGAAAAACCCACCCCTTCGCTTTAAACTTTGGATCACCCGATGCAGCACGTTTGGAGGTCAGAAGACGGTTCGGTTGCCATGGGAATATGCTCAACTCATAGTACGGTTATTTTTTGTTTCCTCCTCCACTTATTTTAGTGGCTCAGCGAGGGGAATTTGTTTGGAGCACTTACAGCCTGTTTCTTTGGCCCTCGATTTGTTGGCTGGGTTGCTATTTATCTTCTATGCTTCCCTGCCCTGAACTGCCTCCTTTTAGTGTCTCAGCTCCATCATTTTTCAGAGGAAAATCCTGTTTCTTGGCTTTTGCATGTCCAAGGTAGCAAGAAGCTCCTCTCACCCATCAGCAAGATCACAAGGCTGGCACAGCTACCCTGCTCCCTCCCACAGCAGCCATCCTATGGACCACTGTGGCAAGTTTCCCACATTCTTTGTGGAAAAGACTGAGCTCTTCATGGCTGGTGTTCCCAACACTTCGAAACGCAGAAGTCTCAGTCTTCCCACGGGTGGGCTTGGCTTGGCCTCTGAGGTTGACAAAATCCTTTTTCCAGTGGGCCTCCCTACTTATTCTCTTGCCATTGGCGGACCAGCACTATGAACATGATGGAGAGGTGTTAACAGTTCTTGACTGTATGTGGGCATGCGGCTTCTCCCCAAGAAAGAAGACAGCCTGCTAATTACCACCGAGTGCTTAATCTTTCCTGTTACCAGTGAAGATGGTCCCTGTCTGCTTGGATAGCAGTGGCATTTTGGACGGCATCCTGCCTGCATTCAGACATGTCTTAAACTGGAGGGGGCATCTGTCAGGTTCTGAATTGTGTGCCATTGCTGGAGAGGTTTTTTTTTTTAAATTATTATTACAGCAAGATATTACTGTGGGATATTGCATTGGCAAGTAAGGGATGTTGCTGATATACCTGGGACCACCTTTAATGGTCCTTGCCATGCTTGCAAATTCAGATGATGCACAACAGTTCAGGGGTAAGTTAGTTTGCATCACTTGAAGGGACAGCTCCTCTTTGTTGCAAAGTGCTATCCTGTGGAGAGGGGTTTTCTTTTGTAATGTAAGGTGAAACAGCAGCTCCCTGCTGATGATGCATGACTATTGCATAACTTACTGCTCCTGAATCCTATTGCTTGGCCCTGAAGCAATTGCCAACAGATTTCACATCAGAAAAAGAAAGGGAAAAACAAGACTCATTTGGAAGTGGAAAGCAAAAGTAAGAACTTCAGTGTCCCTCTCGCCCCTTGTTCAACGCGTGGCTTCCCACAGAAAGAGCCTGATGCTAAGTAGTGTTGTTCAGAGTGTGGTTTCCCTGTGCAGTTAACCTTAATTTCACAAAACCTGGCAAAACACACCACACCGTCGAGACCTTTCAGGTGGGTCTTCCAGCGGTGTTTCTCCACAAAACTATTGCTTCATGGGTGATATCATGTTACCGGCCACATATTTTCTCCACACCTTTTACCTGTGAAGTGGCAGATTTATTTGAGATTAGCTCTGCTGTTTGGAAGCTATTGTTTAATGTTTAAACACAGAGGCTTGGTCTGTGTGTGCTTTCACTTTGATCCTGATGTGGATGGTTATTTCTGTTCAGATACCAACAACCTCCGTGACTTGGCTTGACTGGTGACGGTGGCTTTGTGGTGGTGGGTTGTGCGATGCGAAACCCCTCCGGGAGCTCTCATCCCCCCCCAGCCCCCTAAGAGAACATTTTTGTTTCAAAGGTCGGTGTTTCACTTTGACCTCTACTGGCCCGCTGTTGCTGTGGTGATGCATAATATCAATTTTAAAACCTCAGATATGAAAATAAACCTTGCCTGACAAAAGACAGAGTTTTGGGGGAAAAAAATCTCTGAACTACAAAAAGTCTCGACCTCAAATCCCCTCCAGTTGCACCATAAACTACGTGAATAGACAGACAGCTGCTTTCCCATTTGCCCTGAAGGTTAATATAGGCCAGCTCTTCTGAAC